GAAATAGTTCAGAGAATACAGTTGATAGTATTGCTCAGTTAATAGGACGTACCTTAAGGAATGAGTTCAAACCTTTATTTATACCTTAGTTGAGATTGTCGGGCCCAAACCTTACTTGAAGGTGATTGGGCCTCGGTGATAGTGGTTTTCAATATTGGGTTCGTGGCCAATAGGTAAAGGAATTGTAGGCCCATTGGGTTGGCCCAATTATGTATATCAAAAATTAATTAATATTAATCGACTACCAAAACAGTCGATTAATACTTTAATCGACTACCAGAGGATAGTCGATTAACTTAATCGACTACCGAAAAAATACATAGTCGATTAAGGGTGGGTCTGCGCGAATTTCTCTACCCGCGTCGTCCTCTGCTTGATCTACCAGAAAACCTAGATCTGCTCCTCATCGTCACCACTTCGCCGCCACATCACCACCACACTTCCATATTCTGACGGTTTTTAATTACAAATAAAGTAAATTACAACCCCCACCACCAACTCAAACAAAACCACCACCATCAAAATCACCCAAATCAAATTTTCTTCATGACCACCGCCATATCAAAAAATTGGCAGCAAAATCAAATAAAAAATTCATATCCTGCGACGACGAAAAAGAAATCTTCATAAAATCGAAACGAAGAATAATCAGACATCTCTACTATAGACCAACAATTGAAACGAGAAACAAAATTAACCACGAACAATCGCCGGAATCATACCGCAAAAAACCACTAAGAAACAGATATGAAAGAATTAATCGAAATGGAGAAAGAAATCAGTGAAATATTTTACCTTATCCGAAAATTGGGGTGAACTGTGAAGATCGGAGGGGCAAAGTATAGAACCGTAGGCCCAAATCGGATAAAGTTTGAGCGCAGAGAGAGAGAGAGAGGGGGGGGGGGGGACGAAAAACTAATGGTTTGATATATAACTAGGGTTAAAATAGTTATAATCAAATAAGGGTAGTTTTGGAATTATGAAAATGACACTTTACAAATAAACCCATCAATGGATACTTATTCATAAAGAGGTCCACACAATAAACTCTTTTACAAAAAAGTCCACATATGGTCCAGAGGTTTGTAAAAGACTAAAATAGCCCATCATACTTTAATATGCTCCAATTTCATCCTTTAATTTAATCTAACCTTATTTTGACCCCAAAATGTCACAAATTATTCAATTTTGACTCAAAACACATTTTTATGGACAATTTCGTCCGTCACCGCCGTTGACTCCCGGTCAACCTCCGTTGACTGCCAGTCTCCGGCGTTGATGGCTTTTTTTTTTCCTTCCTGATTTTTCCGTCGGTTTCCAGCGTTGACCGGCGGTCTACGCTAGTCTCCGCCGTTGACTTTTTCGATTTATTTTTCTTTTTTTCTTTTTTTTTTCTTTAACATCTTTTTGTCCCCCGTTTAAACAACAATATTGTTGTGATTGACAGTAATATTAACTATATTACTATTCAACATAGTAAAATTAACTATACTACAATTTAACACAATAATATTGCTATATTAATCTCTAGTACAGTAATATTAACACAACAAAACTCATTATTATTGTGTAATAGAGTAATATTAATATGTTGACCGTTGAACAAAAGTAAACATAATAAAAAGGCAAAAGAATTAATATTACTGCGGTGACAGTAATATTACTATAACAACAATAATATTACCGTCAACCACAGTAATATTATTGTGTTTACAGTAATATTACAATAATAGACATTAATATTATTACGTTGCTCCGTAAATAACTCAAACAAAACAAAAAAACCCAAAAAAAATAATAATATTGATGTGGTTGATAGTAATATTATTGTGTTTACAGTTATTTTATTGTCAACGACAGTAATATAATTAGGTTGACTTGTCAACAAATCAAACAAAATTAAGAAAAAATAACAAAAAATAATAATAATAATAATAATAATAATAATAATAATAATAATAATAATAATAATAATAATAATAATAATAATAATAATAATAATAATAATAATAATAATAATAATAATAATAATAATAATATTGTCATTGACTCTAATTCTACTGTCAACCGCAGTACAATTACATAAATGTATTGTCAACGACAGTACAATTATGTTAATGTACTGTCAGTGATAGTATAATTACAGTCAATGACAATACAATTACGGTCAACGTTTAGCGGCGGACGTAAAAAAAAAAGTCAACGCTAGAGACCGGCGGCGGAAAAAACATACAAAAGAAAAGTCAATGCCGGAGACCAGCGGTCAAGATCAAAATTCGGCGGCGAAAATAACAGACCAGAATAAATAAATAAAAATAAAAAATAAAAATCGAAAAGTCAACACCGGAGATCGGCGACAAAAAAATTAAAAAAAAAAAAAATCAAAATTGAATTTTAATGGTCAAAATAGATTAAATTGGGGTTACAATTAAGAATTGAGTGCAAAAGGTTGAGGATAATTTTGTCATATATATGAATTTTTCCTTAAATTTATAATACATATTAAAGGGATGTGTTTATTGGTGAAATATATATAGCCCCTAAATCTAGAATAATAAAGATGGTTGGTTGGTGACTTGTGCACAAAAATCCCTTATGAAAATATCATTTGGATGAAATATTAGCTAAGGGGGTTTTCTTTAATTATTTTTTAGAGGGGTGTTTACTTAATTACATTTCCTGTATGGGGTTTCTTGCGAATTTTCCCATAGTAAATACATTTTGAGTACTATATTTATTTATTTTATTTTCCTTTCTACTAATTTTGTACTTTCCTAAAAAAATATCATTCTTATCTCAATGGAATTATTTACGGTTTTATTTTTTATTTCGATTTCTTTGTTAATGATATTTTTGTAATTATCATTATTTTTACTTTTTTCTCTACTAATTTCTAATGATTTTATTTTGAACCTTTTCACTTTCTTATCACAATAAAGTTTTCCGCTTTCTTTATTATCAGATTTGTATGAATATTATGATCATCTTACTTCATAATGTAGAGTTTGAATGGTATAAAACGGGTACAAAAGTGATAATATTTCATATAATCTCGAAGATTCCACTAAATTTGAAGAGCTGAGGGGGTGGTTGTAATTATCCAAACAAGAGGGGTGTTTTTGTAATTTGACCATACCTCAGGGGGTGTTTGTAATTTACCCTTTAAAATATTATCTCGGACGTCGTAGCACAAGGAAAAATGCTAGTATCACTCACTAATTATTAACCATTAATTTGAACTTAATGATAAAACAAAGGCACCTATAAAAAGTTGAACTCGCAATTAATATTCCCATACTCAACAAAACCGTAACAAAGGCAATTTTACCATTAGCAGAGCAGTTCTCACTGCGACATCAATCTCCTTTATTTACGTTACAGTGTTCAAGAATCCCAAATTTATCTCCCCACCACACTCTTCAATAATTGAAGGGGATTTGCACTTCGCCCCCTAACAATTTCAAACATTCGCACTTTCCCCCTTAAAAATTCAAAAAGGAGACGTCCCTCCCTGCAAAATATGTTTATGCTGCACTTTGCCCCAAAGTCAAATTTCCGGCGTATTTTTTGCCGCAATTGACCAAACTCCATCTACTCAGAGTTATTGGTGTCATTTCACCAAGCCTGCCAAATCCAAACCCTAATATCATTCATTCCCTTGTGCACAACGACTGTAAAAACTCCACTCTCATTTCACCAAACAATTTCAAAACACAAAATTATGGATTTCAGTCTGAAAATTGTGAGAATCTTTCATTGTTTCTTCAATTAGAAAGCTATCCATTTGTTCTCGTCACAAGGGTTCAAAAATCACGAGAGAATGAACACAAAATAGGACACAAGTAATATATAGTTTCAATTCGAATAATCTTTAATTTCGGGAGAGAACCACCCTAATTTTTCAATCCTAATGTGTAATTCTAGGGCTATATGAATGGGAGTTTGGGTCGGGTATGACCAAATTACATATATACCCTGAAATGACGGCAATCCCCTTCGACTGGACGGAGTTTTGTCAATTCCGGTAAAAAAATACGCCGGCAGTTCGACTTTGTGGTAAAAGTACAACAGAAATATATTTTGCAAGGGGATTTCTATTCTTTTAATTTCTAGGGGAGAAAGTGTGAATTTTTAAAATTTATAGGTGGCAAAGTGCAATTTGTCCATAATTAAATCCCGAGTAGTGAAATTCTCTCAATAACGTCAAATTGCCTGCAGTTCTCTTTCTCTCTCTTGTCTCCTCAGTTTTCGTGAAATCGCAACGGTCTCATTCTCTGCGTATAAAAAGAAAACCGCCGAACAATTGCGTACTCAACTTTTTCTCAACGGCTACTCCCACTTTCTTCACACGCTTCAACTTCTCTCTCTACATTTCAAAAATGGGTTCTGGAATCTTCGCCGGAGATTTGTTTTTCCTCCTATTCGCGCTCATCTCCAGCGCGGCGGCAGCCCAAGGCGGCGGCGGCGGAGGGGCGGCGAGGGAGCTCTGGTGCGTCGCCAAAAACAACGCAGAGGACGCCGCCCTGCAATCGGCACTCGACTGGACGTGCGGGCCCGGAGGAGCAGACTGCGGGCCTATTCAGAACGGCGGGCCCTGCTACGACGGGTCGGATCTCCAGCGAACGGCGTCGTACGCCTTCAACGATTACTACCTGAAGCACGGCCCTTCCGACGAAAACTGCAATTTTGCCAACACTGCTGCTATCACTTCTCTCAACCCTAGTAAGCCCTAAATTTCCAATTTTCCCCCCAATTTTTTCCTTTAAAAAAATTATTACAAAGTTTCTATTTTTTTTTTAATTGGTTTTATTAATTATTTTTTTTCAGGCCACCACAAGTGCAAATTTCCATCCAGGTGAGAAATTTGATGGATCTTAGTGTTGATTATTTTTAAATTGGAAAAATCGTGTATATTTGACGATTTGTGTGTATATATATTTTGGTGCAGTTTAAGCTCCGGCAAAGGAAACTACAGTGGGGCAGTTGGTGCAGGGCCGGGTAGTGCAAATATGAGCGGCAGCGTTAGCGGTTCGATTGCTCGCTACTTTGATGTGAGTTCACTTGCAATTCATCTCTTATTTGCAATTGCACTAATCTTGTAACGGAATCGGGTGCACATTTTTGTATGTAAACTACATTTTGGCTGAAACAAACGCAGCAGAAACAACTATGCAATGAATGGGATGGTTATTAGTGTTGATAAGATAACGTTTTTCGTACAAATTCGGGCTATATATTTTTATTTTCTTTAATTGGTTCGGTTGTTCTCACATGTAAAATTGTTGGGGAATGTTGAATCTCTCTTTTTGCACGATTCTTGAGCAGTTTATTGCAAACTGTTTTGGAAAGAGAAACTTGAAATATGTTACATTCTATCTCAAATTCTATGTTAAGGCCGAATAGTGTTCTCTGTTACGTGTATGTTCGGTTAAACAAACCAAATCATCGGTTTACAGTGATCATCGATTTGTCAAATGTTCACTATAAGATGTTTGGTTCGGGAGTTCCTCTAGTCAATCCTTTTCCTTATTCTTGTTGCTGGATATCTGGTTCGTACACATCTTCTCTTTGTTATCCGGGCCTCTAGTGAGTAAGCCTTGTGAAGGCACAAATTAATAAGAGAAGGGAAGGGAAATTAAAACGGCAATTTCCAGGTTGAGTTTGGGCGTAAGAAGTGACAATGTAAGAAAACAAGAGGTCCAAAGTTAACTTGAAACCCCAGTGCCAAATTACGATTGCCTAATTTATGCAACGCGGCATAAAAATATGTTGGTATTGAACAACGGAGGAGTTTCTCAAGATGAGAAACTCCAAACAAAAAGCAATCTACAAAACTAAAAAATAAATCAATAATAACATCAACAGCCTTTCACTAAAGAAAAACTAAGCCCAACAAAAATACGCTAGACAAAAATCACGACATATTGTTGGTCGGTAATACCTACACGCAAGTGCACGTAGAGTACAAGTAATAAAGTGGATTTCTCACAGAGAATATTTAATTATCTAATTCTAGACGCTAAATTCTACCAATTTCTATCAAACCCACCCTACACAGTCAAAGATGATTAATAAACTAAATTAACTAAATTAAAACTATGAAAGCAATTAAAAAATCCAAAAGCAAGAAAGCAATTAAAAGCGAAGATTTAATCAGAGAAAACGAGCCTATGATTTTATTCTTCCCCCTATGTGATTATTACTCCCCCAATTCCTTCAATTATGCAAATAATTAAACCGGATTATTTAAAACTTTGATCTGAGATGCTCAATTAATCATAACCCCGTTTCCGCGTGTATTATGTTCTAATACTCTAGATTCATTTACTGTATTACTACGCAATTAATTCTAGAACACAAAATTAAGCATAAATCTCAATAATGGCTAGCTAAGAGATTAACTATATTCCTATGTTACTACCACAAAGGTTCTTTTACCACAGTTCTAATTATTAACCCAATCTTCCGATTCATGTGATTAACAATAACATAAAAGCACATAAAATGGTCAGTTTCACGAACTTAATAAAACAAGTAGAAGAAATAAGGCGGAATTTAAACTCGCATAAAATCATAGAATTGGTTTCATAAATCCCACGATAGGGTTCAAAATAAAATCCTAGAAATAAATAAATTAGCTACTCATCATTAAAGTAAAAACAAAATAATAATTTATGAAAAGATAAATTATGCTTGTAATCTTCGAATTCTTCGTCTTCGTTATTGCTTCGTTGCTCTTGAAATTGCGTAAAAGATGGATCCCCAATTGTGTGCTTGACTTGGCCTTATATAGGGTGGGAAACTTGGAGAAGAAGGTAGTTTCATTGTGCAATTAGAATCCCTTTACTGCGCCTTTTCGTAATCTTGGACGGCCGTCTGGGCTATAATTCTTCAGATTTTTTTACTTCTCACTTTTCGCCCATATTTTCTCCAAAGTTGCAGTTTTGACCCACTATTTATTCAATTCTTTAATTTGTACCTAAAATACAATAAATCAACATTTTAAGCACCAATTATCATTAAAATACCTCAAAAGCTTCAATCAAAATGCACGATTAAGTGTAAAGATATACACTTAACACAACCCCAAACTTGAACTTTTGCTTGTCCTCAAGCAAAATCTACTCATAAGCAAATAACTCAACTACTATATCTCATTACATAGATTAATGATCAACTTCACGTTTTCAGAACTTGTAATTATAATGACGATTCTTAGGCATTCGCAAGCTCAAAATTCAAAAGCACTTAGTCACTTACCATTACCAAAAACCACAAATCATACAATTGCTTCAAGCATCCAATATTTGTAAATTAAAGAATGAAAGAATTTATGCTTTCGTGGACATGTTTGATTCCAAATACTCACAAAATTATTTTACTCTACTAATATCGAACATTAAGCTATTGGGATCATTGGGGCTTTTTGGCTTTCAATTGTTAGGCTCTTTGGTTCGAAGTAGGAAATATGAGTATATGTGGCTATTCTTCAAATCCTACGTTCAACGTGAAACGAAGGCGGCTCAAACCATATTGGGAAGCGAGTAAAGATTGCCAAGTTACTTCGGTCACTTTTGCTTGAAAATAAAGAAGCAACGTCCGGCTGAAGAATTTAAACTTAGCGCTTCTCGGTAGGCAACCCGAGCTTTATTGTTTTTTGTAGTTTTCTTTATTTTTTTCGTTTTGTTTTTATTTTCATAGACATGCATTTTAATTAATCTATTTTGAATTTTAATTTTCAGGGTCAAAAATATGATCAGGAGGTCCAGACGGCCGTCCGATATTGCAAGCAAAATCCCAGACGGCCGTCTGGGAAACAGAAGGCCACATCTGCAGCACTGCCGGTGAGACGGCCGTTCGAGAATATGCCTTAAATCTCAGACAGCCGTCTGGCAACCAGTGGGGGAAGTTGAAGCGTCGGACAGCCGTCCGAAAATCAGTGTAAAATTCGAGACGGCCGTCCGAACCTATTTTGGGGCGTATTAAATAGGAAAGTTCATATTTATACCCCATTATTTCCCAAACCCTTCTCCTTCCTTCTCTCAAACCCCCACACACAACTTTCGATTTTTTTGTCGAATTTCTCTTCTAAAATTCATCAATTTCACACACATAATTCGACCACACATTCTTGAACTTTTTTATTTTGTTGGTATTGACAGGGAGGCTAGAGAATCGAACCAAATTCTCCAAAACCTATCTATTCAAGGCACGCCCATAAGGTTTCAACAAATTGCTCCAATCAAGTTTGGGGTTCGATTCTCGTCCAATTCTCACCGAATCTATTCCAAAAGATCTCCCTACTATGTCGTCCAACAAAAGAGGCCACACGAGCGAAACATCATCTTCCAAAGGGAATGGAAAAGGCAAGAAAGGTGCCACCAAAACGACGATCCCTCTAACCGAAAATGAAGCCATTCAACGAGCTTTGACAATCACCCTACCACACTTTGCCAACCTTAATCAAGAAATTATACGACGAGCGTGGCAAAAGTTGTGTGAACTGGAGCCGATTTACAACATCTCAATCATCTGGGAGTTTTATGCTAACACGTTGGCAATCAAGCATCCATTTCATGCCACAAGTGTAGTACGAAAAATACATGTCATGTGGGAGCGGACGATATCAACCAATACTATGGATTCCCGGACTTAAGTCAAAGATGGAGAGAGATGAGAGATGCAGTCACCAAAGAGCAAATTGGTGAAGTGTTGACTGATGGACATCCAACGTGGATTGAATACCCAGACAAGGGGACGTATGAGCTCAGTTGGAAGAGCATCAATTATGAAGGCAAGGCATGGTTGACGTTCATTTGCGCCAACGTGATCCCAACTACCTTCTTTAGTCGTATCAACCACGAATGTCGTGCTCTCGCCTATTACATCATCACGGGGCAGACGGTCGATGTCGGGGCAATTATGGACGATCAACTTTGGATGACCATGCGCGACAACTCAAAGGGAATCTTCTTACCCAGTCTTGTTACGGGGTTGTGCAAAACAAAGAGGGTCCCCAAGTTACCGAACGATATCGTGCTCACCATCTGTAAGCCGATTGTTGATTTTGTGGCCTCGCAATTAAAAGAAGCAACCCATAAAGAGCCACAAACCTTGGTCGAAATTGCAGCCGCTCCTCAAGCCCGAAACAACTCCGAAGCCTCAAGCTCCCGTGCCGATCGACGATTCCGAAAGAAGATGGAGCGAGAGATGATACTTACGAGGAAGCGGGTTGACTATCATCGAGCATAAAGTCAACACGGTGGAGGCACTTCAGAGATGGTCGAGCAAGATGCTACAAGCGATTGTCCAACACTTGGGATGCGGGACGCCCGATTGTGTCGAGTCGGCACCTTTACCGGCGTCGATTCTTGAGCCCGTACCTGAGCTTTTTCGATGATGAGGAGCTAGGGAGGAGCACCCAGATCACATCGACTCCGACTAGCCAGGTGTTTTCTATCCTTAAACTTTGTCCTAAGTTCGTTGAGGGCAGCGGAAATTTTAAGTTTGGGGGTGAAGAAACATGTTTTTATGCTTATTTGCTTTAGTTGCATC